GAGCCCCCAACAAAATGATTAAAAAAATAATAATAAAATGCACTTCAACACCACCACCCCCAAAAAAACACCTCCTTTGAAGATCTTGATCAGAAAGGATGAAGTGAAATAAAAATGAAGTCGTGTGGCTGACAAGATGGCAGCTGCGATAGACTGTGCTCCTTGCCGAGTTCCCCAGGGAGCCAAGCCACCCTCGGCGTCTGCTGAGACTCACACAGTGCTCCCACTCTCCCTGACCAGGGAATCCCTCCAGCACCTCCGTGGTACACTGGACAACCGAATCACACATCTGCTGCTTCCACGCCCACATTTTGTCAATGAGAAGCCATTCACGGCTGATACCTGGTGGGGTACCTTTCCACTCCCCACTGAGCTTTACCCAATTCGCAAATCTTCTGCCAGAATAAACTCATCTAATAGATTAAAGAACACTCTATCTGGCAAAGATTTCTCTCAAGGATGACGATATTCCCAGATAAGCAAATGCCGAGAGTTGGTTACAACTAGACCTGCCTATGAAAGCAATGCTACAGGGAGCCCTGTAGACGGAAAGGAAGCTCTACACGGAAGCAAGTGCTTCCACCAAAGGCCTTTCAGTGGAAGCACCAGCAATAGTTCCAAGGTCTTGGGTTTGCAGCTCCCGCTGTGATGTCCTCCATGCTTTCTAAGGACAAATGCTTAGTTACTGAGCAACACACAGGCATTTGCCTCATAACATAACAGGTGATAACCACATAAATGAGAGGAGTGGGAGAGGCACAGTTTTCGCTTTTGTTGTTACTGAGTTACCTACTCACTGCCACTACATCCATCTAACTCACACTTGGAATTCTGAGAGGACGTTATATCATGAATTAATTGCAGTGTTTATGATTCCTATAATTAGTGTATTCACATAACTATGTAAGTGTAATAATAAAATGTGTTACAGAGAGGAACAGTATATAATGAAAGGGTCATTAATCAAGACCTAACCATTAGTTTATTCATCGCTGGTGGGAACACAAGATGAGGCAGCAGCTGTGAAGGGTGGTGGTTCCTCAAAAATCAGAAAACTAGCCTCGACCCGGCGTCCCACTCCTGGATGCCACTGGAAGGACGGGGGCGGAGACTCAGACAGCAGCCAAGGTCAGAAACCAGCTCGATGCCCCGCAACGGGCCAAAGGATAAACAAAACGTGGCCTACACGTACAGGGCGCCCACACAAAGCCCTGCTCCAAGCTACGGTGTGGGTGAAGTTTGAAGAGTTACGCTCAGTGAAATGGACAAGTGCTGGATGACCCCGCTTAAGGGTTAAAAACAAGAAAAGGCAATGTGCACGGACGGAAATGCATTTGTGGATACCAGGGGTGGGAGGAAACCGATAAGGGAGGACCAGAAAATCACACTAGGGAGAGGGTTGCAAAGCTGACTGTTCTAACTGCTGTCAGGTAAGCTGTGCATCTGTGAAAGGTTGGACTGGCAAGTCGGATGGATTGAAAACAGCAACAGAAAGAGCAGCTGCTGCGGCTGCTTATGTCCAAGCCAACACCTCACAGAATTTGGTTCCTTGGTTCGGAGGTTCAAGGGCATGGCTTCATGGGGCAACCTCTGAAAAGGTTACTTGATTGGTCCACACCGAATACACAGCCTCAAAGAGAAATGGCGTTCCGGTCCACCCTAGGGCACAGATGAACCTTTAAGTCAGACACAACAGGACACAAAATACGATGGGGCACCTATCAGACAGGTGTACTCAGACTCAGTGTGTCAGCGGCTACCTGGGTGGGGCAAAGGATAACAGGCATGGGGTTCAAAGATGAAAACATTTAGAAACAGGCAGTTGTGCTGGTTATACAACACGGTGAATACAATTAATGCCATTGAATTCTATACTTAAAACTGGTTAAAATGGCAAACATTTTGTTATACTTATTTTGCTCCACTAAATATATTTTTTAACATTTTAAAATGACCTTTGGACAACTTGAAGGGGCTCCCTAAAGCTAAAGCTAAATATGCTTCAGCTAAAGATGGAACAACCTTGGGATGGAAGGCAAGCACCCCAGGAGAGTAACCCACAGAAAATACCCAACAACTTGTGTGAGCTCACAATGATACTCAAAACAAAACAAAAGCCCATGTTCCTGGTCACCTCTGTGGCCGTTAAAGTACCAACTCATCATTCTGAAACTGGCACAGGCAAAGAATGAGGCATCCACCTGCCTTTTCTGTACACTGTGCTTCTGTAACAAAAGAATTGGTCGGAGAAATTACTGCTTATAAAATGATTCCAGCCACTGAGTCGGAAGGAGTGAGGGAATTTACAACCCATAATAAAACAATGAATCTAGGCAACAACCCACAACAGCAGTTAAAAATCATGCCGCCGGGAGAAGCGGGTAGAAACTTTGTAATACGAGGATGAGGCCTACAAGACGTGGACCCACCACGTAAGCCCAGGGTCACAAGGAACACAGCCAGGCTCCCGCTCAGAGCCTCCCTCAGTGACAGGGCAAGGGGGTACCTGAATCCAAATAAGCCTACAGAGCTAACTGCCAGTATATAGGGCACAGACAAACACAACACCACGCCCCATGCAGAAGGTGGGACACTGGTGAGTTGTGGGAAAATCCTAGTATCTTCCATTCCATTTTCCCAAGGAATTTTTGAAGCCCCCTCTTACACCTTCAATGGCTGTTAAAGAGAGGTAGGACTTGGTAAAGAGACTTACGGGAGATACCAATAACTACTGGCCGTCAGTTTGTCGGAACCAGGATCCTCAGAGAGAATACTTCTGAGAAGCGAGATGGCCACAGTCGAATCTGGTGGTGGGTCCGTGGAAGATCGCTGTGCTGTGCTCTCAATTTCATGGATTTTCTACTTTGATGACCTCACTAACCCACAGCCACCACGTGAAGTCAGACTGCTGGAAGGTGTAGGACCATAACCACCCTGACTGTGGTGGCCTTGGTCAGGACTGGGCCCACTGCTGACTAAGGGCCAGGCTCCCTCCCTGCCTGCCAGGCTGGTCATAGGAACACAAGGAAACCCAGGGGGGCTGGGCCCCCACCCGGTGAGCTCCTGCTCTCTGCCCACCTGCTGCCACACTCACCTGCTCCTGGCGTCCGTGGACAGATCACTGCCTTCTCCTTCTCCCAGTCCTGCTGGTCCTCAGCACAGGGCTCCTCTCCCCTCTCTATCCGGCTGAGGATGTCAGGCTTGGAGAGCGCATAGTCTGCACAGGACGAGGGACAAGCAGGGTCAGTACCTGATGGACACCTGCCCGCCCCCTGCTGCCCACAGAGATGCAGACAGCCCGAGTCACCAAAGTCAGGGCAAGAAGAGGCTGCCAAGGACAGGCTGTGGACAGGGGCCTGGGGCCCAGAGCCCATCTCACCCAGGGAGACCAGGGTCTCGTAGTTGCCCCTCAACACGTGCTTGTAGAGCTCCTTCTGCCACTCGTCCAGCTTGCCCCACTCCTGCTCAGAGAAATACACGGCCACGTCATCGAAGGTCACGGGCACCTGGAACCACAAGTGCCACCGTGCTCACACACACACTTAAGAGCTTACCGCCCGGCCCCCGCCCCGCCCGGGGTGCCCCCCGAGCTGACCTTGGGCACCTCGCCCTTGCTGCCCGGGGGCAGCCGCAGGATCCAGAAGTTCCTGTTACGCAGCAGGTTCTCCATGTTCTCCAGCCGCCGCTGCAGCAGCCCGTACTCCTGCTGCAGCGTGCCCAGCACGGCCCACTTGCCCTCCAGCTGGTTCCCGAGCTCCACGGCCGTCTTCTCGCAGTCGGCCAGCTTCCTCTCGGCCGTCCCCATGCGGCCCTCCAGGGTCAGCAAGCGGGCCAGGCAGGAATCGACCTTCTTTTCCACAGCCTGGACGGCGGCCACCACGGTCCACAGTGTGATCTCAGTGGAATACAGGTAGGAATCTTTCTCAGCAGCCGGCGCGGGCCGCAGAGGTGATGTCGGTCTGAGGGCCCCTGCCTGCTTGTCCCTGTCTGGAGCCTGTTCACAAAAACAGATTAAATTTGATCACAACTAAACAACTGAAAAGTCACCTCTCCTAAAGGAACCTCAGAAGGCACCTGCGGGTCTAGGGGCCCACAGGCAGAGCGGGGGTGGGAGGAGAGGGTGGGCACCTGCCAGGAGACCAGCCTCAGAGAAAAGACCCACAGGAACATATGGTCCAAGAGAGTCTCAGATCAGGGCCTTGCCTCCTTTTCCTCATCTGTCCTGGGCATGACACAGGGTGGGCGCAGCCCTCATCCCCCACCCTCACTCTCACCCTAGTCATTGTGTTGCCTGCATGGCAGGGAGCGGGCAGCGGCAGCCCTTTGTTGGACTTCTTGCCTTCTGTGGGGAGATCCAGGTCTGAGTCCTGGCCAAGGCCCCTCCCACGTCAGAGGAAATGTGTGAGTTGTTACTACGCAGCTGAACAGGTTTCAATGGAGCCACCAACTAAGTTGGCCTAGAAGGGTAAACCTTGCCATCTCTGTCCGAAAGCTGGCCAGGCTTGGCAATCAACCAGCACTGCATTCGGCCTGCATGGGTCGTCATTTAAGTTGGAGGCTGGCAGCAGCTAGCAGCACCCAGCAGGACGGCAGGGATGAAGTGAACGGGCCCTCAAAGGCATGGGGAGCAGGGGCTGGGTCAGCTACGATGGTGCTGAGGTGTGAAGGTTCGGGAGCAGAGACACAGCAGGGGACAGTGTGGATGCCCTGGTCGAGCAGTGGGTTTATCGCTGGGCTGCAACAGACGGATCTGTGGTTTGACCCCACTCGCTACTCACAATAGGCGAGATGTTACAGCCCTTGAAGCAGAGTTGTTCTCTGCCATACAGGGTGGCTGGATGCCTACATCCAGGGCAGTGGGTGGGTCTGGGGTCTCCTCCTCCTCTTTCATTCCAGAGACCCAGTGCCTTGGAACAGAGTAACCCAAACTTATCCTCACAGAGGGAGTTCCCCTTACCATACCCGGCCCCCAGGAGCTTCCGGGCTGCCCCAGAGGCCTGCCCACCCACGTCTCTCACGCCCCGCCAGCTCCTGTTCACTCTTCAGGCAGGCGGGGCTGGCTGTCTGTCTGTCTGTCAGGGGGTCCGTGTTTCCCTGCACCCATATCGTCCACAGGTGTGTCCTCCGCTTCTAAAGGTCAGGGGCACAAGTATTTGCCTCACAAATGAACGAGTAGGAACCCATCACAGGCCCCTACCTATCAGAGAGCAAAAAGCCTAGAAAAAGTCCGTCGAGAGGACAGGCAGACAGGACAGGCGACCACACGGCTCACGGAGTGGAGGGCAAGTCTGTGCCGTTTGGGGGCTCCCCACCTCCTCTCCCGGAACCCCGACCCAGGAGGAGGCTCCCGAGAGGCTGGGGCCTGTCTGCGAACCCCCCGGGCCCCGTGCAGACCGCACACCTCCCCTCGCCAGTTGTTTTCCGGGGC